GATGGCACCTAGCGAGGGAGAATCCGCTGTGTGCCCCACTCCTGCCATTTCTACTCAAGAGCCTCAAAAACCTGTTTCATTAGAGAAGAATTAACTCCACCCTCTCAAGACTCCCTCTGTTAGAATCACAGAATTTCTTCCAGCTCAGAAATGTCATTCTATGAGACTTGGCACTGAGCAATTGGCAGAGAAGCAGAGTCTCTCTCCAGGAATAGTCTGAGAGCTATTTGACCACGGGGGCCAAGGACAGGGATAAACAAGCTTTCCTAAATCCCAGAGAGCTGATCATTCTAAGCATTAGTGTGACTCCTGTCTGAGAATTTTTAGTAGGTCCCTCCTCTTTTATTCGACCTTTTACTACAGGTGAAAGAAGTCTGTCTAAAATGGATATCAAAGGTGATCTTAAAAGGGAGAATAAGGAGGAGTGACTGAGGGGCCACCTCAGCCTCTCTCAGAGAGAAATGCGAGAGCCAAGAGGGGACCTGGCAACCACAGCTGGGCGCCAATACTCCCCTTACCTGCTGATCACTCCTGCTGTGTCTGTGTCTCTGGTCTTTGTCATGAAGAAGGAGGTCTACCTGTCCCCTTTCTGAGGCCAGTCTTTTCAGCCACTTGGACCTTGAAGCAACAAAGAAGCCCCCATAGAACTCAAATGTTTCCATATCACGGGACCTTATCAAGACTTCCAGCCACAGGGTTGCCTGAGACGTCAAGGGAGGGGAGAGGCCTCTCAGGGCCTTGGTGTCTTCATCTGTAAATGGGAATAAGCTCTAATGCTGCATTATTCAATGTGGTGGCCACCAGCCTTATGTAGCTATTTAAATTTAAATTAAAGTTAAATAAAAAAATTTAAAATTCAGGTCCTCAATCAGAGTAGCCACACCTCAAGGGCCTAATAGCCACATGTGACTAGTGGCTACTATAGGGGACAGTGCAGATCTAGAACAGCTCCATCATCTCAGAAAGTTCAATCAGACAGTGACATTTTATAACAGTAGTTCCTAAAATATGGCCCCTGGACCAGCAGCATCAGCATCACCTGGGGACACTTTAGAAGTACAAATTCCCAGGCTCCACCCCGGACCTATTGAATGAGAAACTCTGGGGATGAGGTTTTAATAAACCTTCCAGATGATTCTGATGCATGCTAAGGTTTGAAAATCAAGGCTCTAAGTCCATCCCTTCCCTGGTGTCTGTCTGTCTGTCTGTCTGTCCGTCTGTCTCTCTTTCTTTCTCTCTCTCTCTCTCTCTCCCTCTCATCAAATTTCTCTAGGATCATTTCATATTGAAAACACAAAAGGATACAATTCTGTATCTCTGTGCCATACTGGAACTCCAGTCCATTTTTGAAGAGCCAGCTGAGTCTCAGGAAGTCAGAATGATTGTAATGGACTATCTCTCCAATGAATGGCCATTGGGATGACCAGAATGTTTCATAAAAACGGCATAATGGCTAGGAACCCAGATGCATTCCCATTCTACAGATGAGGGGAACTGAAGAGTGGGCGAGTGCTTGCCTCTCGGCTTCTTCCTGAGCTCTAGGGCTGAGTCAGGCCTAAAGAGTAGAGAGTTTAAGAGCCTCAGGACGGACCCAGTGAATCCTGGTTCTGTATTTAGGAGCCAGGTGACTTGGGCAAGCCATATAATCTCTGTAAGCTTTTGTTTCCTCAGCTGTGAAGTCTGAATAATAATAGAACTGGTCTGCTGTGTGGATGAAACAAGCTCATGGATGTAAAGTTCCCTGGCACTCAACACATTTTCAATATTATTATACCAGGCAGTAGGAAGTCGGCCTAGTTTTTTAAAATTTTTTCTTTTCAATATAAGCTGCCTTTTCTTTCTATTCTTTGGCCCCAAATTTCTCTTAGGATGTGAGCACCAGTTTACATGCTGTATGCTTATTTGGGAACCAAAGAGGTATGGGTGGCCCTTGTAAGTGGTGTCATCAAAAGAGCAGTTTTTGCAGACTGGTAGAGTCTCTAAATTTCTGGAACCTACCTGCAAACCTGCATAAATGGTAAATCTGATTATAACTCCGGGCAGAGCGGGGAGACCCTAGGCAGAAACTGAGTACGAGAGAGGTTGTTACGTTGTTAATCAGGCTGGAAATCTAGGCGGCCCCAGGAGTTACCCAACCCCCAGTGGTCGTGAATTCCAGTCCCACCACTTTTGGTCACATGACCTCGAACAAATGTCTCTGTCTCTCTACCTCTTTTTTCCATCTATGGGAAAGGACAGAATGGTCTGCCCAGTGCACCTGCCATGAGTTCCCCAGGATCCAAGGAAGAGTGCCGTCCTCGTTGTTCTCTAGAATTCAGGCCTCTCGGCCCATCTTCTAGTATCCTCTGCGATGGAAAGACAGAAGTTGCCAGTCTCTCCTGTTCTCAGGAGCCTCAGTTCGCACTCTGCCATCTGACTCAGATCTCCCCATCCTTTCTCTGCCCGGGTGCTATCTCTCCCCTCAGTTCCTGCCGATGCACCTCCTCTCTTTAACTTGAATCTATTTTTTCTCTCACCTTCTCTTCCGTCCCACCATTCCCCTCCCCCAAAACACACTCATGGTCTTACCCTCCCTCTTCCTGCTTCCTGCAGCAGTGGGCATCCAAATGAGGCTGGAGTTCCTGCAGCGCATGTTTTGGGCAGCCACACAGCAGGTGGGTGTGATGGTGGCCGAGCTAGGTAGGGGCCGGAGGACTCACCAGCATTCCCGTGGTGAGGAGGGGCTGCTGCTCTCAGACCTGCTCTCCCAGCTGCCCCACTACCTCTCGGGCCACCTTCTGGGTCCTCTGTCAGCTCTCCTGGAAAATCTCCTTCTCAGTTGTTCTCAGCTCCCCATGCCTCTGCCACCAGCCTCAGTTTCTGGTCCCAGCCTTCCCTACCCAGTGCTCTCTCTCAGCTTAGACCTGGGACAAAGGGCAAGACACAGCGTCCCCTTTGGGCCTGGTCTGTCTTTCGCTACGTCTCTGCTGCCCTGAAGCCCCCTGCACAGCCTCCCCACAGGGCAGGGTAAGGAGACAACTCGCCTCAGCCCCTCTGGTCAAGATCCAAGCTGTAGTTGTGGCCTGCCCATCCCTTCCCGTCATTATTCAAGGGCTGCCTCACCACAGCCCTTCCCATCCCGCCTCTTTCTTTCCAGCCTCTGCTCCCCAGAGCCCTCAGACTCAGGCTCTTCCAGGCTTCCTTGGGCTCCTCACTGTCCTCCACAGGCTCCTCCAGCCCCGAATCTGCCCCCACGGCAATAAGCCTCCTCTGTTCCATGGCCCCCATTCACTTGTTGCTTCGTCGTCACTTAGACCAAGTTCAGGGAACCAGAGAACGAAGATGGAAGGGATGGGTGGGGGAAGAAGCAGCAGCCCAGTAGCCTGAGGTCAGCCCCCACGTCATGCAGATGACAAAGAACAGTAAGAAGCCTGCCGGGAGGCTTCCAGTGATGCGGTTGACCTTCTCTCTTCAGGGGCATGGCTCCCTCAGAGGGGGCTGAGCCTGTGTGCTCTGGCTGCTGCCAGCCAGCAAGGGTCCTGCTTCGGTGCCCTCCCCACACGCATGCACACCACATCAAATACATACATGCACACACCCCCACATACATACCATACGTGCACACATACTCATACCACATACCACATACCTTACACATACCTCATACACAGACACACATCAAACATGTATACCACACATACACATACACGTGCACATACCACAAGTATGTCCCAAACACACATCGACCAGCCCCACACGTAAATACACAACACAAATGTACCACACACAGCACTCGGACACGCTCACACACCGTGGATCTGCCATACAGGCACGCAGGCACGCATGACGTACCGTTTCTCCTCTCCTTCCAGTGCGGAGCTGTGGGCGAACCGTGCCCAGGGAGCTGCCAGGACAGTGTAAGTTCCTCCCCAGTGTGAAGAGGGCAGAAGGCAGACGCCGTGGGCCCCTCGACCACACCCTCTTGGTGGGCCGCCTCCCTCCTTCCCAGATTCCCTCCTTCCCTGCAGTGCGGAGCTCCGCAGAGGGTACCTTCTCACTAAACATGAAGGTCTGCCTTCTCAAATGTCAGGACAGGCGGGGACCCAGGGGGTCAGCGGTAGGGCCTGGCCTCATGTCCCTTCCGGTTTCTCCTCAGGACCTGGACTGCTTCATCATCGACAACAACGGGTTCATCCTGATCTCAGAGAGGTCCCAAGAGGTAAGGTGCTGGGGAAGTGGAGGTAGAGAGTCATGTCATCTAGCAGCCGTGTCATCAAAGAAAGGAAGCAGTCCTAGTTTAGAACCAATTAGGGTGAAAGGTCTGAAGAGAATGAGGTCTCCTCTTGAAACCAAAGTCAACACGGCAAGATTACAAAATTCAGACACTTTTCAACTGAGATGATCAGAGAAAATATCACTTCTTTACTTTGTCTGTAACTAATCTGGCCGGCTCCTGTGGTTGGTAGGGAAATTGTTCACACAATGAGAGGCTCAGCAAAGCTACATCGCAGGGCCCCACATTTTCTGTGCTGCAGCTGTGTCACTGATAGGCACGGCCTTCGAGAGGCCTCCTCCCAGAGTCCTAAGCACCCTCCTATTCCTATTGCTCATTATCTCAGTCCCCTCTGTCACATTCCTCTGGTCCTTTGTCCATTCAGGGTGCTATAACAAAAAATGACAGGTTGGGTGGCTTATAAACAACAAAAATTTATCATTCACAGTTCTGAAGGCCAGAAATCCAAGGTCAGGGTGCCAGCATGGTTGAGCGAGGGCCCTCATCTGAGTCACAGACTTCTCATTGTGTCCTCATGTGGTAGAAGGGACAAGGGAGCTCTGTGGGGTCTCTTTGACAAGGACATTAATCCCATTCCTGAGAGCTCTGCCCTCACGACCTAATCACCTCCCAAAGGAGTCCACCTTAGACCATCAGCTTGGGGTTTGGTTTCAACATGTGAATTTGGGGGGACACATTCAGACCATAGCACCCTCCCCTTCTACCTTCATGGGGCCCAGAAGGTCCAGGCCTTCCCCACTGTGTGCTGTCTGGACCTCCCTCGTGGAAAATCCTATTCTAACCCAGCAAGCCTGACCCTCCACTTGCTAGAGAGAAAATAAAGGGACGGAGACAATGCTTCTCATGCGGTAGCCCGGCTCGCACACCTGGTCTCCCCTCAGGCATGTGGCTGTCTCCCTGGACCCCACATGTGCTCAGAAAGGCAAAAGAAAAGGTACAATCATAATTCTGCATTTGTTCGGCTCCAAACTGGGCCCCCAAATTAATTGTTTATTTAACCGGCAATCGAACTAAAAAAGAAGCTTATTCAAACCTAAACCAAACCTGAATATCTTTACGTGAAGTATTTCCTTGAAACAAGCCAGAGGCATCGAAGTGGGCTCCAGGCTGAGCCTCAGCGGAAGGGATCCAGTGTGAGCTTTGCCACAATTAGATATGTGATTCGGTTAGGCAGTTTCCATGTTCTGTACCTCAGTTTCCTCCTCTCTAAAATAAGGGAGCTGCACTCCAAGGTTTCTAAGGTCACTTCTGGCCCTGCGACTCTCAATACCTGGGGTGTCGGCAGAGCTGGGGAAGCAGGCTGGTGTTGCCAAGGTCGCGGCCACGGCTATCCCTGTGCTCTGACCTCACCAGAGCCAGCCGCAGGGTCCAAAGATGTCGTCACCATGGCAGGAAGCAGGGCATAGGAAGGAGAAGTGGGAAAGAGGGCAGCTGAGGAAGGGGCACCTGCAGCCATGGCATCTGACTCCTTAAGGAGAGTTTTTCAATGACCACTTCGGTAGAGCATGTCTCAGCAGCAGGAGTGAAGAAAAGATGGTGTCACCCATTTTCCTCATTAGTAGGAGTTGGGGGCCGGCTGACCATCAGGCCATCTCCAGTAGGACTCAAACTGCTAATCATTCACGCGGTTCTCTGGGTACCTCTCCTTTTCTTCCTTGTCCCTTTCATCATGCCCCCTTCTGGCCATGCCCACTCTTCCTGGGACAGAGCACCAATCCATTTAATATTTCTCAGATGCTCTGGGAGAAAATGGGTGATGAAAGAAGCTGAAACCAGTTGTTGGAAAGAGGCTTTGGGCCGATCTGATGCTCTCAATCATTCATGCCTTGACCCCTGCTGCCCTGAGGAACTGAGCCGGGCAGTGTCTCC